GCTGCGTCTTCCTGAAATGATGCTTTGCCTGGAATCCATTTCCAATGGGCTCGTTAGCATTTTGTTGAACATAACCCACGGGCTGTGAAGGAAGAAGAAGTAAAAACGTAGCTTCGGAAGCGGAGACCTGGACATGGAAGTGGGTGACTAGGAGCGTTCTAAGTTCGGGATTGAAGCTGGTCTAGCATTTTTTTAAATCTGGATTTTAATCACCCAGGTACAAACGGAGACCGCCTACAATATGACGGCCATGGACCGATTCCAAGGACATTGCTCGGCTCTGAGAAGCCGACACAGGGCAGGATAGAGCACTAAAATGGACTAAACACAGGCTGCCTGGCTTAGCCACACAGCTGACTCTTCCGGAATACCCTGCATCTCTTTGCAGCGGAAGATCAGCAAAGGAGAAAAAGCCTTGATCTCCAGACGGCGGGATGCATCAACACAAATCAAGGAAGTCCCATTTGAGAAAAGTGCTCCCGGTCTCCCTGTCCACACACCAAATCTAAACAACGGCTTTTCCGATCACAAGTCAAATAGGTGTCTAAAGTTAAAGAGATAAAGGCGTGAAATAAAGGATTCAGGAATAACCCCACCCCTTCCCCATTCCAATTCCTGAGCCTGGGGAGAGGTGTGGACTTAGGGACCTTGGCGTTTCTCTCTTCCTTTGCAGTCCCTAAACCAGCAAGACAGGAATTAGCAAGAATTACATCTAATCTCCTCCCAAGTGTGTGGATTTGCATTATTTAAATATATGGGAAGCGCCCATAACCGAGTAATTATTACAGCATTTGAAGAATGCCAAACAATGAGCCATTTCTTCTTCAGACCCAATCTGGCCCATTTCCGTTTTCCTCTTAGCACATTGTACAGAATTACCCAATGTGTCACTTCCTAGAACACTTGATTGTTTACACAAGTAAGCAAGACTTCTTTGGCAGTATTTATTTCTCATTTTAGACACGATGATTGCTGCCTTCACGGTGCTCTCCTTTCTAGAAGCCTCTCAAGTATTGCATGTGTATAGATGCACTTTCGTACCTTCCTTTTAAAAACAAAGGTTACCCTTTGGGAAGAGGGGTAGGGAGAAAAGGCTGAATCCAATTGAGAGTAGGAAAATCTTCAAATTCTGTGCTTGCTTGTCTGGCATGCAAGGAGTGTGCTGGATTTACTCCTTAACAAGCATTTTTAAAGAAAATATTCTGCAAGGGGATTTCCCAGAGGGTCTGTGAGGAGGACAAGTATTTGCATCTCGATTACCCAGAGCCCAAGTGGATTTTTCCTGAGCCATTTTTCCATCAGAAATCTTGGTGGGAGGAGAGGTCACTACAATGTTTGTGCTTTTGTCGTTGGCGAGGCTGAGGTTTTCATATGGAGGCAATAAAGAATGCATAATTGTGCATTCAGCTAAGACTAAAGATTCCTTCCCCTAGCAGTGTGTTGTGTGTGCATGTGTTTTTTGTCCAACACGGAAAGCCCCACTTGACTCTTAAGAAAGACGGGCCTTATTCTCCCTAACAATTAACACACGCACACACGATTTCTCAACTTACGGCAAAGCTGGGGAGGTAAGAGGCCCCTTACCCCTCCCATCTTCTCTTCCATCCCAAACCCCCACACAAGCCCCCACACAGGACAATCAGCAGCTGCCTGGACAAACATTGCAAGCCTGAAGGGCTACTGCTCCAACAGGCAGGCCTTGGTCACACCGAGTTCTGGACTCTTCCAAGTTGGCTTATTTTAGGAAAAAAATGCAGTGGGCCTCCTTCACTTAGGTATCTGAGTCAGAGAGGTCCAGAGGCCAAGGATAAAGCATCTTCAGTGACGTCTACAATCTGTCGTCTCTGGCAGGCAAGTGCCATTAGGGATACCTGTAGATGTTGTCATGACGATCAAACGATTCATATTTGCTAAGTGCTTGGGAGAGAGCCAGCGAAGCAGACTCTCTGACGTCAGGCCTCCTCAAAGCAGTGCGTGAGCTGGGGGTTCTCGTGCGAGTGAGTGATTGAGTGAGTGATGGTGGATGCTGGCTGATGCGGGCATGGAGGTAGGCGAGGGCGGGGAGGAGCTAGCAAAGCCACCATGGCCCTTGGCAGCTCTGGAATGTAGGTGCACTAACGTTTGTCCCACCAGGACAAGGGAGTTGGGCTGTCACAGTGCAGAATGGGTCCCTGGAGGGTGGGTGACACCATCTCAGACGTCTGTCAGCCAGGGGTAGTCCTCTGTAAGGGTGCAGCCCCAGCCAAGGAGATCTGGGTGGGGAGCTGTGTCTGCTACGCAAATTGACAAGCATTTGATGACAGCAGCTCTATGTGCCGAGGAATAAGGGCTCAGAACTCAGGAATCTGAAGACCTGAGCCTCAGTTTTCCCATCCAAGATGTCTTCCTTTTGGTCTCACAAGGCCCCCTGAGTCCCCAATTTGAGGTTGGCACCCTGGCTTCATCTGTAGACAAGTCAAAGTCACGAGCGCCTATTTCTTTGTCTGGTCCCAGACGTGGGCAGTGGGGAGTGCACAGACTCTGCCCTTTGTCTGTAGCACCTCAACACCAGCACAATGCCTGCACACAGTAGGTCAGCAGCACGTCCTGGCTGGCAGTCTGAACGACTACATCACACCTGCCACTCTCAGTGAAAGGCCTCAGCTCCTAATGGATGGAGCTTCAGGGGATGTGGAGGGCAGGGGGGAGAGAGAGAGAGAGAGAGAGAGAGAGAGAGAGAGAGAGAGAGAGAGAGAGACAGACATTGCTTTGTTTTTCCACTTTTTAATGCATTTATTAGTTGATTCTTATAGATGCCCTGTGCGGGGATTGAACCCACAACCTTGGTGTATCGAGGACAATACTCTAATCAACTGAGCTACCCGGCCAGGACCCCTTCCTCTTTATTGAGGCTTCTCGGCTTGCCTTTCCTTCCTGGAGCTGGGAGTTGCTGCTGTGCCGGGGTGTCCTCCCTCTCTTCCCACCTCCCTCTGTAGAGGCTGGCTGCATTCCAATATGCTCCAGCCCCATTCAGGGTAATTTCCAGTGAGAGCTCCCAGATTTGTGACATTTTGAGATGACATGATGCCTGGGAGGGCCATGTCAGGTAGTAAGGTGTCTGCAGGGGGTCAGAAGGAGAGGAGAAGAGGAGGCAGCGGCAGCCCTCTCAGCCATAAATCATGCCAATCGGCAGGGAAGATGTCAGAGCACTCCCTGGAACTACACAATCGCCAAGTATTTGGTTTTTTGATACTCTCCCCACTTTCCCTTGGACATTTCATAACCGTCCAGGTTTCACTAAAAGGACTCCAGTGATGGAATTTCCGGCATATAACAGGCCGGGGGGGGGGGGGTGTGCAGATACTTGGGCAGCAAGGGAGTTTCTGTGTTGAGGTGGGAGGAGGGGGGGAGGAAAGGCCTTCCTTGGATATGTCCCAATGAGCAGTTTCCATGCCTTCACATTCTTCTTTTTAAAAACAACTTTCCCCTTCTAAAAGTAATATTACTATTTTACAAACAATTTGGAAGGTAAATAATTAAAAAAAATCATCCCTCTGAAGGAATGCAAATGACTGTGAGCATTTTGGACAACTTCCCTCTGGTCTCTTTCCTTAGGTATCTCCGTTCGGATCCCCGTTGGAGTTTTTACTAGATAGTTTTGTGTCACTGTAACAGTTTTACAACCGCCGTGATAGTTTCCTGCACTTCCTGACATTAAGTCCTGCGGCCAGGGATCTGGAGCACTAAGTAGCTGGGGGTTTGGAGCAAGAGAGAACCCTAACTTTGGACTTCAGTTTCCCAGCCTTGAGACGTGAGTGAAACATAAATTATCACTGAGGTTTCGTGTTTTAGGAGTCGTCCTGGCTTCCTCCCCAGCAGGGGCCTACTTGGGTCTCTGCTCCAACTGTGGGATCCTCCAGGCTGGAAGATGGGAATGCTTAGGGCAGGTCAGGGGGCCTAGGCCCACAGTGGGGATTCGGGATAAGCCCTTTTGGGGCTCTCCAAGGGACACCAAGTGGCCACCTGCCCAGCTGACCACTTCCAGGTGGTCCTCCCTGCCACACCCAAGAGGATGGGCCTCCGGTTCCTCCTCTAGCTACGACCTCCCTCGGTCTGCCCTCGGGGGCTTTACCACGTTCGTGAGACCACCTTGGGTATTCGGGAGACCCAGGGCACAGCTCCCCAGCGCGATAGGGCAGAGGGGAGGACCCCAGGCTTCGGGCAGTGGGTGAAGTGAGGTGACCGCCCTCTCCCCCGGGAATTGTTTGGGCCCCAGGAGTCGGCCCCAGGCAGGCCGCGCCTGCAGCCCGGGTGGGACGCCGTCCTCCCGGCCCCCCTTCCTCTCCGCGGTGGCCCGGGGGCGGACGGACGCGGTGGCGCCCATCCTGGCCCCCGTGCGGTTTCCCGGCGAGGCCCGAGGAGGTGGTGGAGCGGGAGGGGAGAGGGAGGAGCGCGCGGGGCGCTGGTGGGGAGGAGTAGCAGCGGGCGGGGGGAGAAGGAACAGCGGGCCTGGGCGGAGGAGGAGAAGCGGCGCACGGGGTGGGGGCTGGGGGTAGAGGAGCGGAGAGCGGAGGAGCCCCGGGGGAGACTGGAGGCGGAGCAGCTGTGGGAGATGGAAGGCGTCGCAGCGGGCCTGGGACCGAAGCAGAAGGGGGAGGGGCCGGGGGCGGGCCGGGGGCGGGGCCTGTGAGCGCCCCCCGCCCCTCGCCGCCGGGCAGCGCCGAGGAACGAAGATGGCCGGGCGCGCCGCGGGAACTGAGGAGTCGCCGGCAGCAGCGGCAGCGGCAGCTTCAGGGTTGTGACTCCACGCGCGGCAGCGACTCGAACGACCGGAGCAGAGCGGGCCGCCTGCGGAGACCCCGACGCTCCGCACCAGCGGGCGGCGGGCAGGCGCCGGTGCACGGGCGCCGGGCGGAGGATGCACCGGGCGCGGCGGGCGGCTCCCCGCAGCCGCCCCCGCGCCTCGGGCGCCGGGCCTTAGTGCTGGCTGAGGAGGCGGCGCGCGCGGGGCGGCCGGGCGGCGGCGGGGCCCGCGCCGTCATGCCGTGGTTGAGCGGCGGCCGCCGGCGGCGGCGGGGACAGACGCGCGAGGCCCCGCGAGAGCCGCCGCCGTCCGCGCAGCCCCCGCGGGAGCCGCCGCAGCCCGCGACCCCCGCTGTGGTCCCCGCGCCCCCCGCGTCCTCCGTGGCACCGCTGCGGGCCCGGGAGAGCGCCGAGCTGCCGCTGCCCGCCGGCTGGGAGGAGGCGCGCGACTACGACGGCCGCGTCTTTTACATCGACCACAACACGCGCCAGACGTCGTGGATCGACCCCCGAGACCGGTAAGGGCGCCGGCGGGGGCTGCGGGCCCGGGCCACGATCCGGACGCCCCATTCCTTGGGCTCCGGCAGAGGCTCGAGGACACAGGGAGGTCTCCGGATCTGGGCGACGAGCAGGGCGCCCACACGCCCCCATCTCCGGGGCTCTGGTCGAGGATCGAGGCGCCTCCTCTCCCGGCTTCGAGCTCCGGAGCGCGGAGCCCCAGCCTCCTCCCGGTCCCCGCCGCGGCGGACACACTGACTGGGTTCCCTCACGTCACCCGCTGACCGGCGCCTGGGAGCTGGGCGCCTGGAATTTCCTCTCCCGGGGCTGACGGATGGCCCTCTTTTCCTTTTTCCGCCGCGGCCTCGCCCATCCCTGCCGGGCCTCTGCGGCCCACCACCCCCGGCTGTGGCCCCGCAGGCACCCCGGCCCCGCGATGGCCAGATGAGCTGTCACCTTGGAGCACAAACGTGCGCCCTAGCTTGGTGGCGTGGGCTCCTTGTCTGGCGGGCTCAGCCTGGTTTCCATCCAAAGACTGCTGCCGGTCGGGACACCTCCGGGGTTCCCAGTTCTGTGGGAGTTGGGAGAGCCTCTTCCCAAACCGTGATGGTTAGTTACTCTGTAGCGCCTTAAACATCGAGTTAAAATCCTGATTGAAACAGCCTTGTGTATTGTGGCCAGAATGGATTATGATTAGACCCAGATGCTTTTGGAAAAATCGAAAAACAAGAGTTGGATTTTAGGTTTCCTCTTTGTGCAAGATATGAATAGGGCACTAGGCTGTCTTCTTATTTATGTATATAAACCCTATGGAGTCAAAAACGGATTCTTGCCTTTAATGAAGTCCGTGTAATGATGATGCTTTTCTTAACCCCTTTCAATAGTTCAGCTCCTTTTGGAGAGGCGCATTTTTCGTGGGACTGGGAATTCTGTTGAACCCGAGTGTTTCCAGTGGTTATCTGATATCTTGTCCTGTTTGGAGCAACTTCTGTCCATTGCCTGAGTGCCAGAAAGGAAATATACTCCAGGTTTCCCAGTGATTTTAAGACTTGAAAAGGCCAAGTGTGGTGACATTGCGCCTGCTTCCTCCTACCTGCACAGGAAAGGCAGCGCTGCACGGCACTAGCGTTTGAAAATAAACGTTGGAGGAGGGAAGCTGCTGAATTATTGTTTGAATATTTCTCTAGGTTCAGATAGGGAAAAAGAAAACAAAGCAAAACAAAGCAAAAGGACTGTGGTTCCCTAACATTCTCTCTGAACTTTGCAAACTCTGAACTCAGAAACTTAGATAATGCTGGCACGCTTTTATGGGTTAAAAGGATGCTTAGTTATTTTGAAAATCAGGTGAGATCATATTGTAATTTTAACCAAAGGCCAGAGCCACAGCTGTTTGATCAAGCCTTGGATGGTTCTGGAATTGCTAGAACTGCTTGGAATGTGGTGCCCTTTTATGCTCTATGTGTGTTAAAAACCCAAACAACTGGAAAATGAACCAATTAAAAATACCGTTTTGCTTAGAAAAGGCTAAGGCTCATTTTATGAGGGTAATATAAAACAGTTGTGGTTACACTGGAGTGGGGATTCATGACGAAAAGTGTAAATGTAAGAATTTCCCTTTTTATGGTGTGACCCAGGACCCGGGGAAGCAGATCCTACACAAGTCAGCTTGTAGAACCCTCCTTTCCGCGCATTTCATGCACGTTTCCTGTGTCTCTCCTTCCAGAAGTTTGTTACCCAATGACATTCTCCCCGTTTGCAGACATCGCTTATGTTAGAGATTTTTAAAAAGTCTTGTTTCTAGTGCTCGCCTCGGCAGCACATATACTAAAAAGTCTTGTTTCTAATGCTAAAAAGTGTCGTTTGAGTGAACAAAAGTGGATATTTTACATTTTTTGTAAAGTAAAAACATGTGTATACTTTTATGAGACATTGTTTTTATAGTGAGTGAAAATTCAGCAGGGGGACAGCTTGCACTTCAGCTCCCATAATACCTTGCCCGAAATATGTATGGAATGTTCGGCAAGCCACAAACATTTAAGGGGAGTCTCTGAAGGGTGTAAATGGTGTAATAGTCATTCTTCTTCTTCTTTCAAAACAGAACCCTGCCGATTTTTATAGGTGACCGGGTATCCTTTAAAGTTGGAATTGTTTTATTATATGGAAAAAACTGTGTTGGAGCATATTTTCTCCATGTGCATCTGACAGTTAAAGCCCCTTTTGAGTCGCCTTTGATTCACACGATCAGAAAACAGTGCTCAAGAAATGAGGACTTTCCCCCAAACTGCTTCCAAAGACAGAACTGACAGGAGAAAGGCAAATAAATAGAGTTTTAAAGAAAATGAAGAATGAAATTGAAATTATGGAGGAATTTCAATGTAGTAGGTTAGGGGCAAATTATTGCTGACTTAAAACACTTCATATATAATTTAGCATGAACTGTAATAGCATAAAATATACCGCTGTAAGCAAAGTATCTGAGGGCCAAGGGTGGTAAACAATCTCTTCTAGAGTTTTCTATTCATTCCATTCATTGTTGTGTTTCTCAGCATTTGATATTGCCAGCTCAGGGCGTGTTGGTGAATTATTGTAGCTGTACTTTCTTTTTCAAGTCACAACAAAGAGGTTGCAAGCCTAAGGAAACATCTTTACAGATGTGGCTGTAAACATCCCACTATTTTCAAAACAGAATTCTTTTAGTTTCATGATCAGCCCACTTTAGGTTTAAATTTACTATCTCTGCAGATCAGTACTGTGAGTATAATTTTCATAGTTTTTGGAATTGTACCCAAAAACTTCTTAAAAAACAGAGTTAATTCACCATTTCTGTGGCTGGTAGTTTCTGTGGGTGAGTCTTAATGGGGTTTACATGAGTGGCACATATGTATTCTACACATATTAACTCCAAGTTCAATGTCCACTTTATAAAAAGGTATTTACCATTTAGGTGGAAAATATGGGAAGAATATTTTTGCTTCCTTTGGAAAAATTCAGTGCCTTCGATGGTTGTGTAGACATACGTGTGCTTCCGGTGGGGTTGTGTCGATGTTATCCTATAGATGGACTGGGTGGTTGAAACTTTGTTCTATTTGCCTTAGCTCATTTATTTTTATTTTTTATTATTTATATATATTGTAATCCTCACCCAAGGATATGTTTATTGACTATTTTTTTTTCTAGAGAGAGAGGAAGGAGGAGGCAGGGAGGGGGAGAGAGAGAGTTAAAGAGAGAGTGTGAGAGAGAGGAGAGAGAGAGATCTGTGTGAAAAACATCTATCAGTTGTATATACCCCTACTGGGGATCGAACTGGCAACCTAGGTATGTGCCCGGCCTGTAAATCAAACCTGCAGCCTTTTGGTGTATGGTACAACGTTCCAACCAACTGAGCCGCCCGGCCAGGCTCCCTAGCTCCGTGTTTATTGCACACTACTGGAAATGCCAACCGCGAGCAGCTGAGGAATGGGGACCATATCACATTTGAGATCAAAGCAGGCGGCCACGATCGATGATGGTGGAAGGCCCAGAGGGTACCACGGCAGAAGCTTCTAGGGGCCCATTTGTTCACGTGATGGATTTGCCCTGCGCCACGTAAAGGGATTCTGGGATATTAAAAGTCCTTTGGACAGGTTATTGCTTTAAGGAGAAAACAATCCTTCGTTCAGGGATTTGTCAGGTTGGAGCCCCACCGATCAGAGCCAGATGACATCATTGATTGCTCCCTTCTTGGAACCCTTATTCAGTATTAATTAATAGGACATTTACTATATTTACCACGCAGAGTTTATTTTGGGATTATATAAACGTCCTGATAAACTAGTAATGATTTCTTAATTTTTCACTTACAGGTAGTGTTTGTATGAACGTGGAAGAGTGTCTTGATTTTAGGAACATGGGGGTGGGATCCTGGAAGAACGTTCTTCCATTTAGAGGAGCAACAATCACTTCTTGGTCTGTTCTTGGTCTAATATCTTTCTTTTTCTTTCCTTCCTTTTCTTTTTTAAGTGAATGGAAAAGTCATTCATTTCCAAAAATAGCTCCCGGATGTTTGGAAATCTCTAAGTTTCCTTTTCTTCCCTTTCACTCTGATTTTGAAAGTGGAAATAATGTGCTTCACCTTCTCTGGTAGGTTCTACTTCAGGAGCCCTTGGGTCAAGTGACATGTTAAAGGTCACCTGGTGAGCCTGGCAAGCTGCTTCTAGCCCAGGTCCTTTTGCTAATGTTGGCTGCCTTTCCAATAAATTGAAATAAAGTTAATCTGATGGGATAAAAGCAGAGTTAGAGTCTACTGAGTTGAGCTATCCCCCTTAAAACCCAGTAAAATGAAGAACTATTTCCAGAGATTCTTGGCCTCCCGTGTGCTGGGATGGTAGATGGAGATGTTTGTCTGGGAAATGAGACAGACATAGAAAATGAAGACAATGCTAGTTACCAGGTGCTATTATCAGCTGGCGATGGCTTCTGGGAAAAAGAGGGAGGGCTCATTTGAGCTGGGGAGGGGTCTTTATTCTCATCCATCCTCCCCTGGATTAAGGCTTTCTCGTGCTTTCTCCGCGTTGGAGAAGAAAAGTGGGAACGTGAGAAAAGTACTGGAGATGAGGAAGTGCTGGCTGTGTTCAGAGTAAATGAGGGGATCAGAGAGTTTGACCCACAGCCCTTATAAGGGAGTGAAGAGTCGGGCAAGACCACACATAACTTGGAATCCTACAGCGTTGGGGTTGGAAGAGCTAGGGCTGTCCTTGTTCAAACTCGTCATTTCTCACTTGAGGGCTACAGTCAAGGGGTGCGTCCTTCCGGAAGTTGGAAGGACAGGGACTTGAGCTGTGCCTTCTAACCAGGAACTTCCACTGTGCCACCCAACTGTCCAGCCCCTACTCCCTCCCTCCCGCCCTCCGTCCCCTCACTGTCGCACAGCCTCTCAGTCGCAGGCACTCTTCCAGGGTTCAGGACTCCATGTGTGCACCAGCGGACAGTCCCCTACCTCCGTGGGGCTTACAGTGCGCTGGTGTCTTTCTCCCTAAGGCCT